TGTGCGTTATAAATAAATGTATTACTTCATAACTAGTTTACTATCAGGCTTCTACAAAACTGACCCTAAGTAATTTGTTGTTTTATGATAACCCATGCATATGAAATTATCTTGTGGCACATGCAATGATCTTATGGTTGTTTGTATTCATTGTGTTTTTCAGTGGGAGAAAATGGGAAGACACCTGGGAGCCTGCCAGTCAATTCAGTGTCATTTGTGTGTGTGTGTGTGTGTGTGTGTGTGTGTGTGTGTGTGTGTGTGTGTGTGTGTGTGTGTGTGTGTGTGTGTGTGTGTGTGTGTGTGTGTGTGTGTGTGAATACCGATTTGTTTATTTGTTTTATTAAAAACATTTCCCTTTTTGCAACATGAAGTCAAATGCTTCAATATTGTGTCATTATTACTCATGTCATGAGACACTATTACACCACATTTCAAATAGATATAACCCATGAAATAATGTTATAAATATTTAGGGATTGAGATTATGAAATCTAACAAGTAGCCTACCTTTGTGTTCATCTGAACAATAAACTGGACTGGTCGGATCACTGCTGCTATCTACAAGAAGAGCAGACTGTATCTGCTGAGGAGACAGGTATTTTGGAGTGCAGGGGGCACTACTTAAGACCTTCCATGACTCTGTGATGGCATCACCAGCAATCTTTTATGGTCTGGTCTGCTGGGGCTGCAACATCTCGGCTGCTGTCAGGAAAGTTACATGTAGTTTGGTAACAGCACCAGAATGGACAGGGTGTGCAGACACAGGAGAGCCGAGTCAAGGGAAAAGGAGCTTTGCATTAATTGTATTTATATTGACCCGAATGGTCTTGAACGGGACTTTAGTGGCACTAGATATACGACCAGGCTAGGAGTAGGCAATATCATTTTTTCACCTAGTTGTATCCCATAAGTGTGCATCTTACTGAGATTAAGATAAAGATGTGCCTTTACCTCACTGGTTGTAGAAAAAGCTTCTTATATTCTTTAGCATAGCTAGCTAACCAGATGCTAATAACAACAAAGTTATTGATTGTATGATCAGTATGACAGATCGCCACTGGGCTTTCAACTAAAGAACAGCCGCGCAAAAAGTGCGGCATGTGTACGGCTCCTTATGGGTACTGCAATTGTTGGCTGGAGCGACGTTCTGGTGCTCTCCGTCAGAACTGCACCCCTGTCAGACAAGACATATACCACGTGATGACATGTTAGGCTCGTGTTGTGTTCAAGGACCCCGACAGGAAAAACAGGCACTCGCTTGTTTAATTTTTTTGCGGTCTAGATTTCTTTAATTTTTTTCTTTTTTGCGTGTTTATAAATTACCTCGAGGGCCGTACCAAATGGTCTCGCGGGCCGTATACGGTACGGGGGCCGGAGGTTCCCCACCCCTGATGTATGAGAATAAATGAAAAACAGTTATGCAATACTTGACTGTAAAACAAGAATACAGTTTAAAAGGTGAGTGATTTGTAAAATATCCATAAAGAAAAAGAAAATCTGTTTGCCATAAATTCATTTTGCTCTCAAAGTGCACCAGGTTGATACATTTAACTTCAATATTTCAAAAAAAATAATTCCTGGGGAGCATGCCCCCGGACCCCCCTAGAGGAGGTGAGGACCCCCCCCCCACTTATAAAATAGCACTTTACCTCTGCTTACACTTATATGCTATTGTATATGCTGTGAGCTGATTATCGAGCCTTCATTGTAAGAGTCGCGGGTACACTGTGTATGAAAGTATTCCACTGTAGCGCCCGGTACATTAATGGGAAACCCTAGTTTGTACATGTTCAATTCATTTGTAACACTGTACACATGAACGTTTCTTTTTTCGGTTCACCAAAAATCTCACTCCAAGCTAAACTCAAATGTTGGCAGCCCTGGGTGACAGTACTCTTCAAAGGGTTCACGAAATATGACTACTACACAAACAAATGCTTTGGCTCAACAAAGAAAATCAACGCAACAGTTTGCATCAATGTTTATTGAGTTAAGACAACTTCTAATGAAATTGTGTTAAACCAACAAACTTATTTGAGTTAGGGGAGAAGGCTTTTCCTCTACAATCAGAGGTGTTTTTAATTACCACTTACTTAATAATTGGTAGCATGAACACAAGTTTTTTAATTGATTACTCAAAATATTAAGTTGTTCCGACTAGTTTTACCGTATGATTTAAAAGGAATTTTAAGTTGTATGTACTTAATTACCATCATTGTGAACAACCATTTATAAATTAAGTTGCTCCAAATATATTGTATTCAATAGTTTTTTTTCTTAGCTTTTTCATGTTTTTGCCTTTTAAAGAAAGAAATTAATTGATTCCACAACAAAAATATTAGGCAATTCACTTTTTATTTTGAACTGCAGTTGTTTATTTCAACACATGATGTTCCAATCAGGAGAGACTTCATTTAGTTTGAACATTTATTGACACATGCCATATGATAAGGTGCATGAACACCTGAAATCACAGCTGACTGCAGGAGAGAGGAGAACCATTTTATAGTTTGGCTGCAGCACGTTGATTGGCTGCTGGAGAATGAGGTGAAATGTAATAGGTTAAAGAGAACGCCTGTGATGAGCTGATTATATGCAGCTGCGGAGTGAATGTATATACACTCTGGCCCATTCCCAAACCGCCCACTACACCCTACCCCTACACCCTACCCGCGCGTTCACGTGACTTCACTATTATTTAACACCTCTTTTTATTGGGTTCTTTTATTTGGGGTTAAGTACATTGTCAGAATAAGTGAGAAATGTATTTAACTTCTGTTAGACAGCTATCATACTGAATACATATTGACTGTGAATGTATGCAAAAATGTATGGCATATGGCTGTCTAACAGAAGTTACATTAATTTCTCACTTATTCTGACAATGTACTTAACCCCAAATAAAAGAACCCAATAAAAAGAGTTGTTAAATAATAGTGAAGTCACGTTGTAATAACAATAACTCATCTCTCTCGAGTTTTATTTTGTAGCTTTGCTAAAAGCCACTGTGTCAAGTGTCCATCTTGGGTTGCCGTCCGGAGTTGTCCAATATGGCGGACCATCTCGCACATGCGCAGTACAGATCGGGCAGGGGGACGGATCGGGTAGTGACAGAGGGATGCTAACTCACTTCCGGGTTGTAGGACTCATCACTGCACTATATCTCCGGTCAAGTAAAGCTAATATGTGTTTAGCTAGCTCGTACTTAAAAAAAATATGTAACTACAACTGATTTACTTGCAATAAACATTACTTGCTTGGCGAAGTCAGACAGAGAGGAAGTTGTAGCCGATGGTCATCGGATAGTAATCAGTAGCATGGTGTTCACTTACTACGCGATCGCACAACGTAACGTACAGTAATTCCACAACCACATAAATGGATTAACATCGATTTAGCTGGGGCAACACAAATACATAAATGAATGAATCTACTGGTTTCATAATTTGAACCAAAAGTGGTGCATTTTGCACTATTTTTTTATTTATCTATATTTATTTTCTTATTATGTCCTACTTATATTATGTTGCACTGTTGGAGGAGCTCGGGATCTAAGATTTTAAATGCCAAAATTACACTGTAGCTAGCATCTGATAACAAAAACCCTTGAACCTTAGTGGTGTTTATTTTTCACGGAGTTCAGTTGCTAAGCGATCACACAACGTCACGTCCGGTATTTCCACAACAACACAAATGGATTAACATCGATGTAATACATTAATGTAGCCTTTGTTTCTGCTAAAAGAGGTGTCGACCAGCTAGGGCCACAAGAAAATCGGCGAAATCGAGTGTGAGGATTAAAAAATAAATGAAAAACATCTAATTTTGACAATAAAAACCAACCAATAGGCGCGGTAGATCATTTTCTTGGCACTTCCGGGTATTTCTCCATGTTAACAATACCGTGTAACTGTCACATTTGAAGGGGATTAACATCGATGTAATACATTAATGTAGCCTTTGTTTCTGCTAAACGAGGTGTCGACCAGCTAGGGCCACAAGAAAATCGGCGAAATCGAGTGTGAGGATTAAAAATAAATTAAAAACATCTAATTTTGACAATAAAAACCGACCAATAGGCGCGGTAGAGCATTTGCTTGGCACTTCTGGGTATTTCTCCACTGGTTGGGCCATGTTAACAATACCGTGTAACTGTCACATTTGAAGGGACAAAACCGTGACATATTCACGTCTCCCAGCATGGTAAATCATCACATGTTCACGTCTTGCCGTGATACCGGGTTGCCTGAACTACAGATACTTGAGATAAAAAAAACAATTATATGAAAGTTTATGAGATGCTACTATGAGAAAATACATGTAATTTTCAATTTAAATTTCCCCTTTGGAGAATTAAAGCTTTATGTAGGAAAGCCAAGTAAAATATTTTAATTATAATATTCTGGTGACATTTTCTAATCTCATATCTGAATAGTTTTTAATCCCTTGTTTATTACCTTAAAGCGGACCAAAGATAACAATAACGTTTTATGTATTTTGTCAATGATATATATTTGCTTTAACATTAACATGACAAATTGAATGCCAATAATTCATGTATATTAGCAATGGGAAAAACTAAATGTGTAATTTGATAGTTGTTACTTCAAAACCTATTGAATACCACCAGAATGTACGGTTCCGTTAGCTCTGCAGAGCTCAACTCAATGTCTTGGTTTCATGGCCCCAAAACCTTTTGTTGGTTCAGTCTCACAACTGTTATCAAACCCACAGCTGCAGGAAGCTGCTTTCAGCAAAACAACTCAGATAAACAACTGTATGCTACTTGCTCCGCACCAAACAGCACACAGACAAGTTAGCCCCTAGCTAATGAACAAAGCTTAGCAGTTAGCCGCTAAGCAGCCACTTTTATTTTCTAAGCAGTCGGTGGTTACTAAAGCAGCACTAAAAGGCGAGTTATGTTATTGTTTACTTGTGCGAAGAAGAAGATACTTATTATCACTAAATAATATATGTCTATTTATTTGTTATATGTGTAGAGCACAGTCAATGTGTGATGACACTTCTTCGGAGCTTCAGAGAATGGCGGCCATTGAAAGAAGAGACATTCATTCCCAGAATTCCTTGCAAGGGCGAGGTGCTCTATCCAGGTAGGACAGCTGATAGCACATAAGATGAATTTGACAAGTTCAGTTTTTTAAATATTCAAATAGATGTATTTAGATCTGATCTATTTCCTGTGAGCGATAATGTTAAATATTTGATTATTGGTGCCATTTACTATAAATGTAACATTTTGTCTTCAGGATAGTGAGTATGGTTATGACTCTGAGAGAATGGGCCCATAAGAGTTTGGCAGAAGAGACCGAGCGTCCCGATTCCTTCTTGGAGCGTTTCAGAGGCCCCGCCAACACGGACGAACAAGCCCCGCCCAGCAGGTTCAGCCACAGCCAAAATGGTTCTGATGCAGATCATGAAATCAGACGCTCCAGACGCATGTAAGACAACAAGAAATATTTTTAAATGCCTAAAGATAAAACATTACCTGAAACTTACATGCTTAAACCTTTGAATTTTCGTTTTCTCTTCTCTGCCAGGAGGAGGAAGTGTAAAGTGGAGGTCTTATCACCATCTGATGACGTCTACTACCACTGGCTGATTGTGATTGGTGCTGCTGTTTTTTATAACTGGACCCTACTGGTTGTCAGGTTGGGAAATATTACCGTGCCAATACAACAATACCTTTCACAGTTCTAGTACTACTGTGTATCTTTCTTAGAGATTCCACTGACTATAAATGCTATAACAACTATTACAGTTCCAGTAATGCAGAAAAACATGGACGTCATTATTTCAATATCTCTGAAAAGATGATCAGACACTTGAATTTGGGATAACAGTTGGCTTTTTTTTTGCCAGTCTGTGGTGTGAGAAATCCATTAGTATGGCTTTGAAGGAGGAATTGGCAAAGACAGTAGTGCTATAAAAAAAACTGTGAGAAGCACCACTTCTGATACAAACTGGCTGACACACACATGCTCCTAAAATATAATTTAAAGGTGCAATAATTCATATTTTATATCAACAAAATGACTGCGTAAATAAAAGCGTAAAAAAAGAGATTACATTACATTACATTACATTGCATTTAGCTGACGCTTTTATCCAAAGCGACTTACAATAAGTACATTCGACCAGGAAGACACAACCTTGAAGAAAACAGAATCATATAAGTACATCAGGTTTCATAGAGCCAAAACATTTCAAGTGCTACTCAACTGGCTTTAGATAAGCCAGTCCTTTATTAGTATATAAGTGCTTTGTTAATAGTTCTATCGCTCGAAGTGGAGTCGAAAGAGATGAGTTTTCAGTCTGCGCCGGAAGATGTGCAAGCTATCTGCTGTCCTGATGTCAATGGGGAGCTCATTCCACCATCTTGGAGCCAGGATAGCAAACCCACGTGTTTTTGCCGATGGGAACTTGGGTCCCCCTCGCAGCGAGGGCGCAACGAGTCGTTTGGCTGATGCAGAGCGGAGTGCACGTGCTGGGGTGTACGGTTTAACCAGATAGTCGACAAAGGAGACTTCCGCTGTGTCTTAACTCGCTACGTGAACCAAAGTTAAGTAAAAAATAATGTGCGCGATTGCCCGGTGTTTCGGCTCCGCCCCAAAATATTTAATGTTTGGTCAATTAAACAAACAGACAGACACACCAAACCAAAGAACATAACCTCCTCTGATGAGCTAATTATCCCCAGACTCTGCAGTCTGCCGCAGCTCTGCAGGACATTTTTACCTTCTTTCAGCTTCTTGTTATATTTTTCTTACCTGCAACTCTATGGTTTTGGATCAGTCTTAATGCTCTGATCAGCTTGTTTTTAGGAGAAGAGCATAACTGTACAGTTTCTGCTTGGCGCTTTATAGCCGAGAGACAATGCTAGCAGCTAACTATTGAACATAGTATAGCAGCAGCTTAAGAACCAGGTATATCCCACAGGAATTGGTAGGAACCAAAACAGTGAATAGAGTGAATATTGTACTTGTTGCTGTGATTTACTTTGTTTGTTAGAGTCACTAATGGCGCGTTTCCACTGCAGCGGGTAGCTCGCTTTAAGCGGGTAGCTCGCTTTAAGCGTGCCGAGCCGTGCGGGGCCCGTTTTTGGTTGCGTTTCCACTTGGCCTAGTTTTTGCCCGGGGCTACTTTTTCACCTTTTTCTGGCCCGACTAAATCGTGGTCCTAGGGCCAGGAACAACCAGGCTGAGTCGGGCTGAGTATGCTAAACTAGAGAGAGAATCGCTGGCAAGGGGGCTACAACTACAACAAGATGAACATATTTGATCGTGATTTAATTATAATACACGTTTCAAAATGATGCCGAAGTAACAACATACTGATACCGGTTAGTAAAAACCATGAATTCATGCTTTGACAAGTCTGCAGACAGACGGCAGGCGAAAAACCCTTTTAAAATGCGTGTTTTCTAAATGTAGCTTGGCTAAGCTAACGTTATATATGCTCCGACCGTCCACACTCACAACAACGGCCTATACAGACATAAATAAACCAGCGACTGTATTCGCCATGACACAGGCAGTCTGTGGTTTGTACTTGTTTAACTTTTGTCTAGTTTCTGAACAGATATGAGGAGCTGTGAGCTCTGAGTGCTAAGAGCTAACGGCTGTGTTGTTTTTCTGGGGCTCTCATTGAAGATGACGTCATGGCTCCGCCTACACTGCGTTACTATAGTAACTGCCCCAGTTCCTAAACTGTAATGGAAGCGCAGCATTAAAGTGAGCCGGGCCTCATAAGGCCTAACCAAACCGAGCGAGGCCGAGCGAGGCCTGCAGTGGAAACGCGCCATAAATGTATGTACTTTTGTAGGGCCTGTTTTGATGAGCTCCAGATGAGGAATGTGATGGTGTGGCTGGTACTGGACTACGTCTGTGATGGAGTCTATATCTTGGATATAGCTGTTCGTCTCCACACAGGTACTGAAAAGACTAATTTCTATTACTACATAAACATTTTTGATTAGAAACTCTGTTCTGGATTGTTGTTTTAACTGATACCCTAATGCTTTAGTTTATTTGTGTTTCTAATGTATTTAAAGGTTTCTTGGATCAAGGCTTGATGGTAAAAGACATGCGGCGTCTGAGAGAATCCTACATTCAAACCTTGCAGTGTAAGCTTGACATTTGCTCCATCCTCCCAACCGACCTCCTGTACCTGGCTGTTGGGATGAGCTATACTCCTCTTCTTCGATTCAACCGCCTGCTGCGTCTGTCACGTCTGTTCGAGTGGTTTGAACGTACAGAAACACGAACGGGCTACCCCAACGCTTTCCGCATCTGTAAGCTGGTTCTGTACATCCTGGTGATCATCCACTGGAACGCCTGTGGATACTACAGCTTTTCCAAGGTCCTTGGATTGGGATCTGACTCTTGGGTTTATCCCAATGCATCTGATCCGGAGTTTGGCACCCTGACCAGAAGTTACATATACTGTCTGTACTGGTCCACTCTGACGCTGACCACCATTGGAGAGACTCCTCCTCCAGTTAGAGATGAGGAATATTTGTTTCTGATTTTTGACTTTCTGGTAAGTCGATATCTTACCTTAAATGATTCATAAATTCCTTTTACTGTAAGGATCCCAGTTGTTCCAGTCCATCAATACAGCTAATACCAATATTTCTGTCCTAGGTTGGTGTTCTGATTTTTGCCTCCATTGTGGGTAATGTTGGAGCCATGATCTCCAATATGAACGCCACAAGAACAGCCTTTCAGAGCCGCGTTGACACCTTGAAACACTACATGCAATTCAGGCATGTAAGCAAGGTGCTAGAGCAGCGCGTCATTCGTTGGTTTGACTACCTCTGGACCAATCAAAAGACAATAGATGAACAGGAAGTGCTGCACAGCCTGCCCAATAAACTGAGAGCTGAGATTGCTATTAATGTTCACCTGGACACACTGAAGAAGGTAAAGACACTTGGATAGTGTGACACAATTCCATTTAGCCTCTTTTCTGTAGTATTTCTGTTGAGAGTATCATAAAAGGTCACAGTATCATTCTTAGAGTTTGGCTAAAACACAACGTTGTCTTAAATGCTGCATTGTCATTTAAACACTGTCTGTTGGAATTGGTTAACAGTGTCATTTAAATATTTTTGTTTTAATTTTTGCACCATCATTACGTGTAAGCTCCTCAACATTATTGTTGTGTCCATGTGTGTTTGAATAAAGGTGCGCATTTTCCAAGACTGTGAGGCAGGTCTCCTCGTAGAACTTGTTTTAAAACTTCGACCACAGGTTTTCAGTCCTGGAGACTACATCTGTAGGAAGGTTAGTATTCACTTTACCTCTACTGGTACTAAAGAGATACAATGAATTGCTTTTGCTGTAGTACTGTCTTGAATGTATTAAACTAGTGACTGTTTACCGTACAGTGGTCATACCATAATAAGCTGCTGCTTAGACCACAACTTTTTTTTAATACTGAACTGTACACATGTTAAATTGAGCAGTTTATCATTGGGCTCTTTCGAGATTGACTGTCTAGCTTACTGTGAAAGGTTTACGTAAGCAATACGATAATACAGACAAAACCAAAACTGGGCACCAAGACTGGGCAACACAATTTTAGTGATTTAGTAATTTTAGTAATCACAAGATAGCTACCCTGCCTTTTCATATATTGAACTCCAAGTGGGACCATAACTTACTAAATGAACATCATGCTGTATTAAAGAAGACATGAAACTAGTGTTTTGGACAATACATTCATTATGAAAATGTTTACTGACGTGATAAATTAAGTGACAAGTAGGGTAATTTTCTCATAGACATCTATACAATCAACCTTCTTTGATGTATATATGTGCTATACATACGGTAGTGCTAAGTGCAGCACTAGTATTAACAGCCTTACTCTGCCATTTTGTTGAAAGGACAGTATTGTAAGTCCTGATATATATCCTCATTCCTTTTTTTCTTCCAAGGGTGATGTGGGTAAGGAGATGTACATCATTAAAGATGGCCAGCTGGCAGTGGTGGGGGAGGATGGAGTCACCCAGTTTGCTGTTCTGACATCAGGAAGCTGTTTCGGGGAAATCAGCATCTTGAACATCAGCGGCAGCAAGATGGGGAACCGTCGTACGGCTAACATCCGCAGTCTGGGATACTCAGACCTCTTCTGCCTTTCAAAACAAGACCTGATGGAGGCCCTTCAGGAGTTCCCCCATGCCAGGGCCCAGCTAGAGCAGAGGGGGCGGGACATCCTGCAGAAGGAGGGGCTTCTGGAGGAAGTGAATGTGTCTGCAGGGGAGGAGCTTGAAGAGAAGGTGGAGAGGCTGGAAACCAGTCTGGACCGGCTACAGGTCAGTTTACTACTTCTGCAGGTTTAATGCTACGCTACAGCCACTACAATAATGCTGATTATTAACAATTACCTTGTTTTTCAGACGTGTTTGGCCCGTCTGCAGAGTGAGTTCAACTCTTCCCAGCTTCGACTAAAACAGCGGATCACAAACCTCGAAACCAACGTCACCACAGTGTGCACAGGCAGCGGCTTCCTGTCAGACGGAAACGAGAGTGTTTTCGGTGACGGTGTGCGCAGTGAAATCAACATCCGGCTCTGAAAGAGAGACTAGGAAAATATATGGGAATAGAACAAAGAATATCACAAAATACTTACTGCGTTTTTTGTTAACCTGTTAAGCCCGAGAGACTTTGGTACCGGGGCCCTCCTGCAACATCTTGCAGGAAAGTGTCTGAGGGCATGTTCATTTAATAAACTATGAATGTTTTATATCCATGTAACGGGAAGAAACTCATCTACCTGATCATTTTTATTTATTTTTCAAAAAAAACAACACAATGCTAATGCTGAGCCTCTGAATTAGCAACGAGCGAAAAATGCTAACAGATGACTGCACCGAAATTCACTCACAAAACCTTATTATTTATCTTTGCTGCACATCCAACCCATCGTTTCACATCGTGAGGTGACACAGAATCGAGGGGTACCGTTCATTATCACTCACTAAAACGAACTCTTGGAGATAATAACAAGAACAGACATCAAAACATATGGCGCTAGGTAGCTAAAAACGCTAACATGGCTCACCTGTGTCGTAGTCTGGTCAAAAGTGGTCTTCAATGGTATTACAACGATAAAAACGCTGCTGAAGTTAATCCATAGGTTAATCCAAAGTGTCTGTGTCCCTTTGAAATGATTTCTGATCCATGAATCCATGAGCAATAAACCTGCTTTTCGGTTTTCAAATGTCAGAGCGAGAGATAGGTTCACTCTGGTGCAAAACTGTGTGCGCAAAGCCCCCACCTTTTTGTTTTACCATGTGTGTGAGCAGAGATGGGGTCGTTACTAAAAAAAAGTAATATATTACATATTACATATTACTTTAAAAAAAAGTAATATATTACACTACTTCGTTACTCTCACATAAAGTAACTCGTTACTTTACTAGTTACTTTACTCGTTACTTTACTCGTTACTTTACTCGCAGGGCCGACCCGCCCCTCCCTACAGGCAGATCACGCAGACTGCGGTGCACCTACAGTGTGCGCGCCACAGTTTTGCCTCTGCGAGCAGTGGCGGCGCCAGAGATTTTCTCTAGGGGGTGCTGTGGGGTAGCTTGACGTTTCATAGAGGGTGCTCAAACATTAAGGGTTTCCCATTAATGCACCAGCGCTACAGTTGAATTTTCTACTGCAACACTCCCCACACGCACACACAGTATACCCGCGACTGTTACAATGAAGGCTCGGTAATCAGCTCACGGCATATAGGTGTAAGCAGGAGTAAAGTGCTATTTTTACAAGTGGTGTGTGGACCTCACCTCCTCCAGGAGGGTCCTCACCTTCTCTAGTGGGGTCCGGGGAGATTTTTTTTTAAATATTGAAGTTAAAAGCATCAATCTGGTGCACTTTGAGAGCAAAATGAAGAGATCTATGGATATACTGTATCTCTCAACATACATATGAAACAGAACTGTAAACAGATTTTCTATTTCTTTATAGATATTTACAAATCACTCCCCTTTTAAAACAAACAGTTTGAGACCCACTGAGATAACTAGACTAAAGTTAACTATCTAAACACTGAGAGTCCTTTACTTCACCTGAGCTGAGGTTATCTGAGACTCTTCGTCTGACAGGAGATAGTTCTCCCTCCACCTTGTTGTTGAAAAAGCTCCTTATATCCGTTAGCTTGGCTAGCTAGCACCAGATGCTAACCACAACGATCTCCGGTAGATACCCACCGGTGCGCGAGCTCTCTCTCTCGCTCGCTTGCGCACGCACACAAAATGGCTCGTGCCACACACACACACAGAGCAGAGCTTGAATGAAACACAGAGACCCAGAAGTAAGCTACTTGTACTCACGAGGCCTATTATGTGTAGAATCCCTCTCGCTTTCAGTTGGTTTTGATTGAGTGTCCACATGTGGACGTTTAAGGACTAAAAAACGATCCATTTGTCACTTTGCTGTTAGCAAATAATGTGGGGCTCCAGCTAACAGGAAGTCACTCAAGTGTCACAAAGTAATTTAGCCTATGGGTAGGTCAAAAATCTAATGGGTGCTGGCCATTGGCCTAATCATATCACCTGTGTTGGCTTTATGTTTTTGGTCAAACATGTTTGTTTCACATTTGCATTGATGTAATCAATAATTTTTCTGATTTAATTTAATAAAAATAATAATAATAATTTTCGAAAAAAAAAAAAAAAAACATTTCTTGGGGGTGCTTAGGGGGTTGCTTCGGCAATCCTGTGGGGTGCTTCAGCACCCCCTAGCTCCCCCCTGGCGCCGCCCCTGTCTGCGAGACTCCACTTGCACCCCCAATTACTATTGCATTAAGGAAGACATAACACAAGTCTTTCTTTTTATATGCTCTCAAATAGGCTACCAGCCACACAACAAGCTAACAGTCTGTGAAACGTAAAGATACTAATTAATGAAACCAGTTCAAGACGCATTATTCTTATCATTCTTTATGAGCGCATAACGGTAAGGTATCTAATTACTTATTTATTTAGTATTCCATAACTTAGTAACAGAGATGGTCAAACTAAAGTGGTAGAGACATGGCAGAATTCCTACAATGAAGCGGGACATTGAACTGTTCACCCGTGAGAGGGCGATCAACAAAAGAGAGTGAGCGGCCCCGTTGAGGGAGTTTACAGATGAAAAGACTCAGCCATGTTTATGCAGCACTGCACGTGGAGATGATGTCTCGCAAATCGCGGCGGAAACCCCTCTTGTCTGTCAGTGAGTGTGATAATTTTATAAAAGTAACGAAGTAACGCGTGTCGGGGCAATGTTAGTAACTGTAGTGTGATTACTAAATTATAAAAGTAGCGCGTTACACTACTCCGTTACCGACAAAAGTAATATTATTACAGTAACGCGTTACTTTGTAACGCGTTACTTTGTCACGCGTTACACCCAACTCTGTGTGTGAGTGGGGAGATTCCCCTTTGATTATATTGGCTCTAACGGTCAGAAAGAGATGTCAATCACCAAAATCGACCAATGGGTTCCAGAGACACGGTAAAACCCCCATTTCCACCCAAATCACCTCAGAGGTGGAGTTTTTTTGCTAAACCTCTCTAAAAAGGTCAAATATCACTTGTTTTGCATCAATCTTGATACAGGGTACTTATTATATGTTGTAATTTAGATTCCTAAAGCTTTTAGTCTACCTTACCATCATCCAAGGGTAGTTTTCACTATAAGTAAAAAAGAATCTTTGGGCGGACACTATCATTTACAGTTTTTTACTATGTCTGAATTTTCTTTAAAATAAAAAACATCTATATTGATTCTGACTCTTCTACATCCAACTCACAGGTCTATCATTACTTTGAGAAAAAAGATTATTAATTTAACCCTTTTAGAAGGGAAGATATGGTCATTTGTTCTGGGAATGTCATTTTCGAGCATGATACCTGAAAAACAGGCTCAGGGTTGAACTGGTTAATTCGCAAAAATGTATGTACATACATGTTTGCATTTACGTATTACGTTAGTTACTTAACTTTTTAAAATCAAACATTTACAAGTTTACACAATTTCTTCAAAGGAGTATGAGAACATATCTGTGTACTGTTTAATGTATTCTAATGCTCCTAAATGTATCACTGCTTTGTGTCTCAACTTTTAAACTGACAAACAAGTTGCAGACACACAATTAAGATAAATAAAGTAAAATAAATATTTTAATAACTAACATATTCAAACCAATACACTACTATGGAACTATGGTTGCTAAATTCCGGGAATTTTCAAAGATGGAAACTTTCCATGGGAATTAACGGGAATAAACAGGAATAAACTGGGAATTTTCCAAATTGAAGGTTGGCTCTTCATAGGGAACGTAAATATAGTTGGGGAAAGTATATTTTAGCACAATCTTGACTAAAACAAACATATGCCATTCAAGTACACTTGAATATCCATGCCATAGCACACTGCTTACTGCATGGCTATTGAGACCACACCCCCTACAGGCACTGTGTATGCCTCCATCACATGCACAGATGATTTAGAGAAGACTGGATCACACTATGGGACTTTTTGGAGGGAGAAGGGCTCTTTTCATTTAACATTTTGAATGGGACTGTGTGGGGATTTTTGGATGGGGTGCATTTTTGTTAATTTTTTATTGAGTGGGGTTGGAGGGGATGAGTAATTAACTCAACATTCCTGTTTTCGTTCTTCAATGAAACAAATAATTGTTCAATAAAATAATTAAAACTTGTTCTGTTCTACTTAACAAAAAAAACAAAAAAAATCTGTTGAAATGTCATGTTTTTTTGTTTAATTTTGCATCGAATATTTCCAAAATTCCCCAGCTTAACTTCCCATGGAAACTTTCCGGAAATGTACCGGAAATGTTCCGCCCCTTTGCAACCCTATATGGAACTAGGGTGACCAGATAAACTGGTTAATTCGCAAAAATGTATGTACATAAATGTGTGCGTTTACGTATTACGTTAGTTACTTAACTTTTTTAAATCAAACATTTACAAGTTTACACCATTTCTTCAAAGGAGTATGAGAACATATCTGTGTACTGTTTAATGTATTCTAATGCTACTAAATGTATCACTGCTTTGTGTCTCAACTTTTAAACTGGAGGGAGAAGGGCTCTTTTCATTTAACATTTTGAATGGGACTTTGTGGGGATTTTTGGATGGGGGTGCATTTTTGTTAATTTTTTAATGAGTGGGGTTGGGGGGGATGAGTAATTAACTCAACATTCCTGTTTTCGTTCTTCAATGAAGCAAATAATTGTTCAATACAATAATAAAAACTTGTTCTGTTCTACTTCAATTAAATAAAAAATCTGTTGAAATGTCATGTTTTTTTGTTTAATTTTGCATCGAATATTTCCAAAATTCCCCAGCTTCAATCAATCAATCAATCAATCAATGTTTATTTATATAGCCCAATATCACAAATGTTACATTTGTCTCAGTGGACTTTACAGTTTGTACAAAATATCAGTATGACAATACGACACCCTTAGACATCCTTAGACCCTCACATCGTACAAGGAAAACCTTCCGAAGAAAACCCACAGTTTAAACGGAAAAATGGGAGAAACCTCAGGGAGAGCAACAGAGGAGGGATCCCTCTCCCAGGACGGACAGACGTGCAATAGATGCCGTGTGTAAATTGAAAAGATAATACATTTGCAACATAGGTAGTCCAAATGTTTGG